GGTGACACCAATTGAATTATCATCTCTGTGCCCGAATACACGATGCCGAACCTCTGCATTACTGACATGGTGTTGCCACTGGATGTCAGCAATCCTTCGGAGACAGCGATGATCGAACACAGAGAGTCGTCTAACGTCCTCAACTCGGGGAGGACAGGTTTCACAAGCATAGAGCAGAACTGCTCTCACCGACGCGTTGTAGATCCGACCTTTTACGGCCAGACTAACATCACGAAGGCGCCATAGATGGCCCAGATTGGCATAAACCGCTCTGGCTTTCACTATACGTGCATTGATCTCATCACTCACACCCCCACCAGCACTTATGCAGCTACCCAGATAAACGAACTTCCCGACTACGTCTATCTGCTCACCATCCAGGGTGAGTACAGGATTGGAATCCTGCCAGTCTTGTAGAAGTACTTTGCACTTCGAAGGTGCAAAGCACATACCATACCTACGGACACTGATTGCCAACTGATTAAGTGCGGATTGCATGCCTTGGGGATCATCGCACAGTAAGACAATATCGTCCGCATACTCAAGGTCGAGAAGTCTTTCTCCAGGCAACAGATCCACACCACCATTACTTACATTCATCAGAGCTGTTTCCAGAATGTCATCGATGGCAAAGTTGAAGAGGAATGGTGAGATTGGGCAACCCTGTCTAACCCCACTACTCGAATGGAACAATGGAGAGAGGTGGTTGTATGCCCTCACTCTGCCTGAGGTGTTTGTATATAGGGCTTTTAGGATGTTAATAAACTTCTCAGGCACACCCTTCTTCAATAGACAATCCCAGAGAACAGTCCTGTCCAACGAATCGAAGGCAGCCCTGATGTCAAGAAACACTACGATTGTTGGCCTTTGATAAGTATGGCGGTGTTCTAACATTTGGCGGAGGGTGAAGATATGATCAATACATCCTCGACCAGAACGAAACCCAGCCTGCTCCTCGCGAGTCAATCTTTCTCGGGTTTTGAACAACCTACGAAGTATGACGGAAGCCAATAGCTTGGACGCAATCGGAAGTAGACTTATCCCCCGATAGTTGTTGCAGGAACGACGTGAACCCTTTTTAAAGATAGGGACAACTATCGACTCATTCCATGACGTTGGTACACTCTCTAGTTCCCAAACCTTGGTAAACAACGTCGTCAATTCCTTAGTCAAAAAGTCACCACCATCTTTAAAAAGAGCCGGAGGTAAGTCATCTGGGCTAGGTGATTTGTAACGCTTCAAGAGTTGGAGTTCCTTGCGGACTTCCTCCTCGTTTGGTGGATCAGTCGTCACCGGCCATGGAGGGCAGGACAGTCTGACCGATGTTGCCGGAGCAGCAGGCCAGTTGAACTGCCCTTCGAAAAAATCCTGCCCATCGTCCAAGACGTCGATGGATGTTAGTGATTGGCATCCCATCATCCTCGCAGATTGTTTCACTCACACCAGACTTCTTGCTGCCAGTGGCTCGGATGAGCTGGAAGAGCTTCCGATAGTTACCAGATGCAGCTGCTGCTTCCAGCTCATTAGCACGCTTCGACCACCAGGCTTCTCGGTCCTTACGCAAGCTTTGCCCAATTTCCTCACGTAACTTCCTTCGTTTATGGTCAAACTCACGGTCACCCGGAGTAGACCAACGGGCTTCAATGAGTTGTAAGGAACCAGAAGAAACCCAGTGCTTAAAAGCGGGACGTTTCGCAAACCCACAACTGACTGTTCCCGCCATTCTCATGGCGTCATGCAATTGCAACCAATGCTCATCTATACTTTTCGGTGGAGTAGTAGCTAGCCTAGAGGCTAGCTCGGTTCGATACTTACTTGCAACAGAAGTTGCAACCAGCTTGCTAACATCAATCTTTTGGTGGTGGTCACTTCGTTGTCCACTGAAAAGTAAGGCAAGATTGGCGCAGACCAAGGCATGGTCAGAGTCCAGATAGGTACTCCAAAAGGAGCGGCAGTCTTTTACACAACCACGCCAGCGGTAGCTGATCGCGATGTGATCAATCTGAGTCCAGGCTTGGGATGCAGAGGGAGGACGCCAGGTGGCACATCGGCGATGACTGTGCCGAAAGTTAGTGCTAGCCAGAAACAGGTTGTGGTCTGTGCACAGTTGCAGTAGACGGTCCCCGTTATCTGACCTGCGACCAACGAGTCCCCATCGGCCACCTAAACGACTCTCTTCTGTGCCTTGACGCCCGACCTGAGCATTCAAGTCTCCGGCTAGTACTACAATATCTGTCGAACGCACTTTCTGGAGAAGAACAGTTAACTGGTGGTAAAACTCATCCTTGATTGCATCCGGGCTGCAATCTGTCGGGGCATAGGCGGAGATGACGAAAAGATATCGTTTCTCACGCCGATTTCTCCTCACTTTGATGGAACTTTCTAATCTAACAGCACATAACCGACTGTTAATGGGGATCCAATCGACTAGTGCTGCCTCAGCTCTAGCGCTTAGTGCGACACCAACGCCAGCAAGACCAGACGAAGATGCCACAGGGTCCCCGGATAAGCGCACGTAAAACAAGCTTTTTGAAGTGACAGATGGAGAGCGAATTTGTAGTACTTCACCAGAGTCTTGAATACGGGTCTCGGATAGACAGCAGACATCGATATTAAGACTTTCCAAAGACATAGCCAGCCCTATCTGTTGACCAACCTGCATAAGTGTGCGAACGTTGAAGGCAGCCAGTTTGAATGGCGCACGTGGTTTCAGAAAAACTGCTTCAGTACTCATATTCGATGGTAACATACAATTTTCGACCGGACAGTGACTCGAGAACGTTTAGATACAGTCGGATTTCCACCAAAGACGAGCCGCTGTATAAGTATAAAAGAGGGTGAATAATGTGGAAAATAATAATAATAATAATAATAATAATGACAATAATAGTAACAATGATAGTATTAATAATGACAATAATAATGATAATTATTTGAATCGATTGATTGTTTTTCGGAGCGAGAAAAGTAGTTGCCATAGACATAGAGTTCATCGTTATCCTTGCCAAGTGCCATGCATCTAATCTCAGAATAGCTTGATACGCGATCCAAAGCTAATCGAGCAGTGCTTCGAAGACACAATCAAAATTAGGAAGCCTACATGTGTCTTCTATTATCATATATCATGTTTCCCAGACATTAATGTAAAGTGAGACGCTGTGAAATGTACTTGCATTGTCCGGGGTTGAAGGAGACTAGTAAAAACAAAGCGAGTTCCCTGTATCCTTGCCCAGATCCTGCCAAGGCTGATGAGATTACTAAGATAAGTCAAGTAGTCAGTATACTCGACTACTTCACCCCTGATAATCAATATATACGTTAATGTAGGCCAGTCTTAAAGCAATATTATAGATTTTGAGGAAAAACGAATCTCAAACATCTCTGAATTGTAGTTTCCAAATGCCCTGGTACAGCTGAGGGCGGAGAAAGTCAGCTCTACCTCTCGAAATGCTTTCATATGGCCACGCGTATGCAGCCACTGCCAGGGAAGTCCCACTCACTGCCTTCTCGCGGCGTTACTGTTGTTTACTAAATCGACAGGACGAAACGCGAATGTCCGGTGCCTTAACGGGGTTGGTGGACACGGTGGGTCCACCTAGGAGAGTTAGGAAACCCTGATACCAGACCAGTGGTGCACATGGGATCCAAGATCCTGACAGAACAGATGGCGTATGGACCAATTATTAGCCACCGGTTACCATGGGACTGCATCTCCCAAAGTTGCTTCGCTGCCTTGTAGATCAGACCATTGGGTCGAAGGCTCTGGGTGTGACCCTCTAAGAAAAGCACCTGCTTCGATCTGGGCACCCGAGCAGCAACATACCCTACACACAAATCAAGTGACCTGTGTAGCGCATATGTATTCGGTACCCCTTGGCACAAATATTTAAGTCCAAATAAATAAATAAAAGGCAACCAAAAGTTTTCATTATCCGAGTTCATATCAAATAGGACTATTTCATCGACAACTTCTGAGCTGACGAGTAAATCCCCTGAAAAGGAGATTAATCTGTTATCGCTGAGAATACGCCCATAACGAAGTCGGAGAAGACATTTCTGAAGAACATAACTCAAGAGAGACAACTCAGATGGCAGTTTGCCGTAAGTTCTGTGTATACCAAGTGCTTAAAGTTTAAACCAATCTGAAAACCGAGTGGCTTAATCACTAGGCTGCCAACAAACCTTCGGAATTACTACATAGCAGACACTGCAGGTAGCACTCACTAAGCTAAGATAACATGACATGAATAGTGAGTTGGCTAAGGCTATCAACATGCGAATCTGGGAAACAGTTGCCGTATTTTAGTAACCAAATGCGGCTTTGAGTTGTGGGCTAGAACTAAACTCATGAGTACTGTCACTTATGATTAGCGAGTCGCTGGGATGAACCAATGTAATAACTGTTTTGATATGATAACATGGTTGGTTAGATGACGTTACACAAACGAACGCAAATAACATAAAATTGAAGACAAGCATGAGCCGGTACTAAGTGCCACAGGTCAATGAGAGACAAAAAAGATTATGACTATGATAGTAGTAACGATGAGATTGCGAACAAATAGATAATATATTCCAACAGAAACAACTTGGATCTGAGAATATAGTCCACTGAATAAGACCATATTAAATAATTAGAGGAAGATACAGAATGAACACAAATGCACCACTAATATCAGCTTCGAGATAAGTAACCTGGAATCCTTACCACGAATTACAACCGTTATACGGATCGCAACTAACGAGTATGCGCCATTCCGTACAAACTTGGTCTGGATCAAGACTTTGTAGACTGACACAACCGTTTAGTTAATATATTACGAGATCGAACGAGTAGTGACGTTGTGGTAGTATCTTAGGTAGGTAATGACCATCAACTCGAGAACACAACAAAAAGAGGATCTTTGAGGGCGTGGAGAACTACAGGCATGACAAAGTAATCGAAAAATAACTTAATTTATTCGGTACATGAAACGTTTTAATAATTATCATGAACTCACCTGGAGTAGTTGGTGAGAGTGACAACACGCAGTAACGTTTCTTCCACTAGAACAAAGCAAAAAATACTCGTTAGGCATCCATCAAAACCCAATCTAGGTACAGCTGGTTTCTTACTTACCTTCTTACCATCACGATACCGCGCGTATCCCTCCAAAACAATCCTGATTTTCGATGGCATCAAAGCATTCAAAACAATTAATTAATCGTTAGGAAGAATGTTTACTATTTCTAGAGACAGTTATGATGAATATCATGCCCAAACGGGTACAAAACACATAAATAACCATTCCGTTGCCATGGCCTACGCCTCGTGACCCTGGCGCACGTGATAGACGAGACCTTGAGCGCATAAAAACACAAGGTCGTATAACTGTGATACTAAGCTCGATTCAATAATATGTGCTGATATTTTTAAAATTTTAAAGCCATCAAATTGCTAAAAGACAAGGAATTCAAAACTATGTACACCTTTCTTTTTACCACATTCAATATTTCATATCAGGGTATGTTAATTACATGAGCAAAATAATATTTTCTCAATCAGTTTTTCGTTTATAGGGGGGGAGACGATCAGGAAGCGTTAACTGAGTGGCTGAAAAGGTGAGCTATTTCCTGATATCGATTTTATACTTATTACCAGATTCAGATATCTATCTCGTTTATTTCACATTTTCATCTTTATCAGCAAAGAACTGCCTGAAAACAGTCTGAGTGACTAGATAACTTTAAACATTGTAGTAAACTATGAAAATGCTTCACACATTGAATGTTAGTAGGTTACATTTTTTAACTACTGTCAACGAAATAACATTGAATAGTATCCAAAATTTTCTTAATGCGGTTTTTGACTAAATATTTACCAGGCTGATACACAGTAATATTTATGTTCATATACTAAATTATTGGGTCAATCAAGCCAGTTTATGATTCAGTGATAAAAGTGGGATAGATTACGTAAACATAACAACTAAGGATTAATAATCCGTAGTGTAATAACAGGTGTAAAGTTGTGATAAGAATGATAAAAACTCGTATCCATGTTTCATAGCGAGAATTAGGTCAATTATTTGAAAATATAAATCAGAAACTCCAGAAATTTTCTTTCTCATCAAGTATGCATTAGTATGGAACAGTCTTCCATCTGAAATACACACGGTAGATGGACTATATACACTTGTAAGACATCTCGATGAAGCCATCAATTGCACTGATCGAGCACGCGCGGGCACATCTGCGTCACACACATACATAGTAGGTCCTCTCCATGTGTAGACCATATTAGACTCTAGGTTTAGTTTTCTTTACTTTTTTTCCTAGCAGTTGTACCACACATGCTTCTCTCCTTAAATTTGATTTGCAGTAGACAGTTAACTCACTGAACCTATCGATACTGATGAACTATGGTCGGTCGCTAAGGAACGTTTACTAATACTATAAAAAGTTGTCAGGAGAATATCACAATTCATTGCCTACTGCCAGTGGTCTTGCATCTATGGAATCTGTAGCCCATCAACCGGTTAGTGTAGCACAAAGTAACATCATCACCAAGTTAATAGGAGTTCCTTCTTGTCTGCTCTTTATCAGCTTTTTACTCTCCAATACACTATGTTGACTTTTCATTAATATTATTTCACCACTCGTTACGTTATCTATAACTCATATATTTCTGTAAGTTTGCGCATACTTTGGTAGACAATTATCATGCAATATACCCTTCCTAAATCCTATACTATGATTGGCAACCTGTACCTTATACTATAGTCAATTAAAGCATTGCATCGATGCCTTATCCACAGTTAATAATTTGTAACTGCCTGATAAGCTTGTAAAATGGTACTTATAGAAATAGTGTGTTCCAACAGGATGTGAAACACAGAGCATTGTGTGAGGCATGATATATATCCAAAAAATAAGCTTAAACGAGCTTAACATCACAAAAGGGGGGAGGGGGAGTTAGTGACCAGCTAGCATTGGTGGCGAAGGCGATGACTTCAATCCACCCATGCTTGTGGAGTAGGACATTTTGTTCGCATCAGGCTCTTTATGTTTGAGAAGGAGTAAATCAATCTATGGTGTGGAGGTTGTTCTCCTACGCTCACCATTCCCGCTCATGTTTCCAATTTTATGCTGGATTAGCTATTATACTAAGACAACTTACAACATGCTAACTCGGACTTTTACATTAACACTATCTGACAGGCACCGAATGAAAAAAATCCGACAATAAAAGACATAGTTATTAGTTTCTTAACACTTTACTCTCTATATGCACTTTCTGTTCTAATAAACAGCCTTCCTTATTCCAACCCTGACTTCCCTTCATTCATTTGAACTTACTCCATCTTGGTAAATATCACAACGGATTGCTCTTTATTACTGCATTCTCTCATCTGGAGCCTCTGACCACATTTCACTCTAGCTACAAGAGCTAGTATGAATTTAGTCTAATAATTTATCATACTTCTGCCTGTTCCACTACGAAATGTTAAGCATTATTTATCGTTCATATCCAAGTGCTTTGCTGTCTCTTTGTTTCTGTTCTTCAGCGTCACGTTGTCAGGGCAAAGGTATGGAGCTTTTGATGCTTGAAATTAACCTGATGTGTGTAATTTTTCGAGGTAACATCTCATACCAAGCGCTCTGTAAATTTGCTTCACAACAGCTATAAACTTAAAGTGTTGCATAAATACTTAGTACGACAAGAATTTTAACGCAGTAATGCTGAGTTTGAACCAGGCGTGCAATATCTGCGAAATGTCTCTTGAAAAAATATTTTAAAAATTTCACTCAATGCAGTACTAAAACACAAACCTAGTCATTAACCCTCTAGTACGTCTGCACGAGTGTAGTGTCTTCTATTTTTATTGATCTTATTTGTTAAACAACCCTACTTCAGTAGAATACTGTAAGCAGACCTATGTTGTAGCTTGTAAATAATGCCTGCAAAATGGCGCGTACCTGTTTTTGCAGAAATATATTATATCACTTCATTATTACATGGGACATGGTAATGCTCATAAACGAAATACAAATTCCGTTTTCTAACAACAATAATGGCAATAACTAATTCTCAAAAACAATATGTGACATGAGACAAGCCAGTTTTCTAGGCAAAGTCAAACTGTTACAAATGCAACAGGATTTACTGTAATATGTTACTCAGGTTGATATGTTGTGAGACACATTGGTTACAGAAACAGGGAGTGCGTTCTCGTACGTTAGAATATAAATGTTAGTAGAACTCGAATATTCAGTATGAAAGTTGGCGCACTTTGTGGAGGTTATAACCAAAAACTGGTGGTCGGCAATGAATGAAAATAATTTCCTGAGCTGTTTATAACTAGTAACAATAAGATAAATGCATAACCACCCAGTTAAAAAGCGTCAACTTCATCTCATTAATTAGAGCATTTTGATCGTGTTCCTAGATAAATATAACACCTATTTTTCAAACAGTAATTTCTAGCGTACACTGATCAAATAGTGAAGTGGTGGTCAGATGTCTGTATAATGTTTGGGTTCTGAACTTTTCGAGGTGACAATAATTTCATTTGTTACTGTCAGTGAAAATGACCCGTACTCTTAGTAATGATGTGATTTGACAGGTTTATCAAGTCACGAAACCGCGTAACATTCACTCGACATTGAAACGACTAATTTTACACCGATTGCCAATTCTTATAGTGAAGAACAGTACTAAAAACAATTAACTATAGGTTGTTTTTCATTAAAAAGGCCAAAAATAAACGCATCAGCAGTTTGAAGCATTATGAATTCTGTTATAACACAAAACAACAGATGTAATTTATACTTTTGATCAAAATGAGGTTTGTAGAGATTGCAGTAATTTTGATAGTTGAATTCATGGGTCGCTGTAAGCTAGACCACCATTGAAGACCTTGGGGAGCTGGACAGACGCTTCGTCCTAGTATGGGACTCCTAAACAGCGCACATCCACTGTCCTGCAAGAAAGGGACTCGAAAAGATAGGGACATTCGTCGTTGCCTCTTCGTCGTCTCTGTCTATTCTCCCACTGACTGCAGCTCAGATGATGTAAAAGACGAGTTTTACAGAAAGCTTACCGACCTTCTTCGAAAACCTAGGCGCTGTGATGTAGTAATGGTGGCTGGTGACTTTAATGCTTATATGGGTAAACTGAGCGGAAGGGAAAGACACCTGTGTGGTTCTTATAGCATCGTGGCTCAAAGAACAGATAATGGCGACCGTCTGTTGCAGCTATGCCCAGATAATCGCCTGTTCCTTGCGAATACTGACTTTAAGCATAAGGAAAAACATCTTTTAACATGGCGACCCCCTAATTCGTCCCAACGTTGGACCCCAATACATCACATCGCTATCAGACACTGATGGAGGGGCTCGATAGAATGCTGTCGCTTGCGCTTAAGCTGACTCCGCTCTTCATTATGTTCAGAGCCAAGTGGAATGAGTTTCCGAGCATCTATCAGTGCGGTAGATGCTGCCGAGATCCAGTGTTGCTCCCTAACCTTACGGGTTACCGTACTAGCAGATATCACTGCTGTTTCCACAGCTTTTCGGATATCATTCCATGCTGCCTCAGGGTGGGCATCACCTATATGGCTGCCTAACTGTTTTCCTAGTTGTTCCTGAAATATACTCTTAGCTTGGCTATCATTAAATAGGCCCCCAAGAGGTTTCCTTGCAGTGTCTTTCTTACGTCCAGTAAGACGCAAGCAAATACGCGCTCGCACTAGAGCATGATCTGAATCTAAGCATGTGCTCCAGAATGAGCGACAGCATTCTATCGAGCCCCTCCATCAGTGTCTGATTGCGATGTGATGTATTGGGGTCCAACGTTGGGACGAATTAGGGGGTCGCCATGTTAAAAGATGTTTTTCCTTATGCTTAAAGTCAGTATTCGCAAGGAACAGGCGATTATCTGGGCATAGCTGCAACAGACGGTCGCCATTATCTGTTCTTTGAGCCACGATGCTATAAGAACCACACAGGTGTATTTCCCTTCCGCTCAGTTTACCCACATAAGCATTAAAGTCACCAGCCACCATTACTACATCACAGCGCCTAGGTTTTCGAAGAAGGTCGGTAAGCTTTCTGTAAAACTCGTCTTTTACATCATCTGAGCTGCAGAGACAGAGACGACGAAGAGGCAACGACGAATGTCCCTATCTTTTCGAGTCCCTTTCTTGCAGGACAGTGGATGTGCGCTGTTTAGGAGTCCCATACTAGGACGAAGCGTCTGTCCAGCTCCTCAAGGTCTTCAATGGTGGTCTAGCTTACAGCGACCCATGAATTCAACTATCAAAATTACTGCAATCTCTACAAACCTCATTTTGA